TTCCCTTCCCATAGCTTCTGACAAAGGCACATATACTGCTGGATTGGTCTCTCAAAGAACACACTGGCTGCAGAGCCAAAAACCAGTGAAATCATTCAGTAACAGAAGAACAGAAACATTAAGAGCAAAACACACATCTACAGCTCAGTGTAATGATAGCATGATGCATTTATTTTTGTCTATAACAAATGGCATAACTGCATCTTAGCTGGGAAATGTTCCAGCATCATCAGCAATGACAGCTAAGGAAGAACCCGTTTTCTATGATGTCTGTTAAAAAAAAATCAAATTCTGCTTACAAATATTCAGGATTATTATTGAGAATGTACTGTGTACATGCCCTTCTCCTTTATGTACATCAAGAAGATTCTGTACAGTGTGTATAGCAGCTTGCTGCAACACTGCTGGCAGCTGCAACTTCTTGGTCATATCTTTAATACATCAGCTGCACTTACAAAAATTCTTTACTTTCCTAAGAACTAAAAATAGGTTTTTTTCTGCATGTCAGATGACAATAAAAATGCAGTTTTACATCTAACTGAACCACGAAACTGCAGGAGACTGAGGACTTGTAGCAGGTACAGGACAGGTTCTGCAGAGTCTTGAAAAAACCCTCTGCCTTTCTCAGTCCAAAGGGACAACAGAGTCCAGTAGCATACGTTCATAATAATCCTCTGGAGAACTGAGCAATGTTTGTCAATACCCAGGTTGTGATTCCTGTCAGAAGCTCTAAGACTGCAGACACCTACAAGCCAGTGGGACCTGGCAAAATGTTAGTGCCTACTTTAAACACGATCACTCACTCTCTGAAGCTCCAGTGACAATACTGACTAAATCTCCCTTGACTTAGATGAAAGCCTAGACACTTTGTTCAGTGTACACACGTACATTACAGAAACTTAAATATAAGTAAGATTAAGTCCACTCTAAGGTCTTCTTGTTACAGGTCTGCAAGTTCTTCCTCCTGCACAGGAAAAATATGCCCAACTATGGCATAGCCACTCTGCTGAACTTTTCCTGCATTCTTCTTACCTTCTGGTTCTCTCTCCAGATTCAAAGGAGCTTTTGATTGTGACCTTACCTAACGTTAGTGAACAAGACACAGTTTACCCAGTTTCTATCCATGCTACATCACTTTTCCCATTGAGTACGATGGCATTTGTGGCAGCACTGATCTAGAGTATCAACTTCACTCCAGTATTCACATGAACAGTGGAATTCACAAGTCACCTTGCTGAGTTGTTTCTTTTGCTTCTTAGGTTTTCTCCCCAAGAATAAAAAGAAAGACCAATAAAGGATGTGTGAAGCAACAATATTAGGATCATCTTCACATACTTCATTTATTCAGTTGTATGAGAGGAGAGTAGTAGGACAGAAAGTGTAAAAAAGATTTGATCTCTCACATAATTCTTCTGCTTTGGGAAACTGAGTAGCATATTTTCTCTGGTTACAGAAGCTGCTCCTAAACTGTTGACTTGGTTTGTAAAGAGTTCTTTGATCACAGAAAGCTGCAAACAGCAGCATTTATGACAGTGCAGCTGGGAACAGATTGGTTACAATCAGCCTTAGAGACTGATTTTTCTTTCAGCTCTTGAGATCTTATGAATAAAGCTATTTCTGCCGAGACTACCAAATCCAAGCACATCTGATATGGACAAATGTGATGGTGTTTATGATCAAGAACAAGTGACAAGAACAGTGGAAGTTACACTCTTTTGATCGTTCTCTACACTTGTAACAGTTTGAAGCTCTTCTTTTGTATGTCAGAAATTCTCCACACTCTGTCATACAGTTTTGCTAGTGCTCTTCACAAACTTAGCATTTCTTTTAGTCCATTGCAAACTGACAATCTGGGACACGGAATAAGGAGGAAATCTGTGCCCTGACACTTGGCCTTTAAATTTTAGGAAGTCAAGTTAAATACTGCCACCCAGATCCAATTTTGCTGAACCTGCCCTGCCTGTATGTGGCTGAGCTTCAGTATTTGTACAAGAATATGCACTCAGATACACACATTTAGCAGTGTCTTTCTGTTCCTACTTCCATATGCATGTTTATGGAAATTTTATTTGTTTTCAAAGAAGCATATCATAGAATGGTTTGGTTGGAAGGGACCTTAAGGATCATCTCGTTCCAACCCCTCTGCCATGGGCAGGGGCACCTTCCACCAGACCAGGTTGCTCAAAGCCCCATCCAGCCTGGCCTTGAAACGCTTCCAGGGATGGGGCAATGTTGTCTCTCCTTTCTGGTGTGTGTACACCCTTCTGTCTATTGGCACAGCATTTTCTCTGAGCTTGATTTATACACTATGCCGACGGTTGTTGATCATGGCCACAATGTGTGACAGGTCCAAACTTTTCATCATAACCTCCATGAACTCCTCGTCTTTCCTTGCTCCCTCCACAAATTCATCCAGAGAAAGCTCACCTGTGTCAGACAGAGACAGAAGGCATCAGGATCATGACAACATTTGAACAGGAAAAGGAGTACAGTAATCTAACTTTAGAGACCAAGTCCTACACATGCACTGTTCTAAAGCACCAAGAGGCCTCAGAGAGTCTTTTTAAACTTATATGAAACTTCCCCGATATCCAGGCAACTCCAGCTTCCTTTTTTTTTCCCACACAAGGGAAAGGGTACATAAGAAAGAATAAAGGAAGTGCATAGCTAAGGAGTGGGATTATAGCTTCCTACAAAAAAGGCTGGATTAGCTGCCTCCTTTTTGGCCTAATCTGCCCTATACTTGCTGTTTTTCATGTTTAAAAGAAGTGAGAGAAGGAAGCTGTGACAGGCAGAAATAGTTTTTTTTTGTCTTAGGCCAAAAAGCCCTTGTGCAGGGAAGCAGCTCGGTAGAGTTCTTCTAGAATAACAAAGGAGCATGTCAGAAGGTAATAAGCACATGAAGTAGCAAGGAAAGAAATATCTCTCAGGGAGATACAGCGACTACAGTGGTACTGACCAACTTTTGACTGACTGGTCCATAGCACTTCATGTTCTTGCTGTACTGCCTGTAGCAGACCCAGTGAAGAAACTCTGAACTTCAACATTAAATTCCAGTTCTTCCTTTCCCTGCTGCTGAAATATTTAGGAGCAGCTGGGACCATCTGTTAATGTTTCTGACTTCTGACTCTGACATAAGCTACACAGCAACATACAAAAAGGAAAAAAAAACTCACTCCAAACCCCACTACCTAACTTAAGTGGACAGAACACAGCTGAGACTTAGTACAGGGAACAAATCCTGTCATACTGATGATGTGTGATGCAAAAGAAAAATGCCTTAGCAAAATTAATGGAGAATGCATTACTGGATGAGAATTTATGTAACAAGCAAATATAAAATGAAGAGGCATAAAATTCAGTCAAGAAGGGAAGACATGGATGTCTGTCTGAGCTGGATGACAAAGACAGGAATCTTACCATCTCCATTCACATCAATTTTGTTGAAGACTCGGTTGGTGAACTCTTCTGCACTAGTTTCATGGTCACCACCATTAATAGCTCGAATAGCCTAAAAGAAAAGAGCAAGAATAGGAAGCTGCCTAATGGCTCCCAGAATGATTGGTTCCACTACAGCCTGTCAGCATAGATTCAGAACAAGACAGTCATGCTGGGTAGCTTCCCCATACAAATGAACCAGCATCATAGGAAAACACAGCAGAAATCATCAGGCCTTATGGTTGGCACTGAAGGGTGCAAAGGGAGCATGGCTCTGGAGCATGGAATGAGCAGTGAAATCCAGAGGATCACCCTAAATCTGCTTAGATAGAGGTTAACCACTGCAGAAAAGGAAGAATCAGGATCCACCTAATTGATCCACTTTCTATCACCCTATGGTCCACCATGCCCAATAAACACTGTCAAACACCCTCTGCATTTGACATTACAAAATTCCTTTGTTATATGGTGTGGTCATTTATTTCTATACTTGCTTTCCCTATTTCCATTTATTTATATATTGTTTCCTGTGTGTCCTGCTTCTCCCTAAAGCTCACTGGAAATTCATTTTCAGTTTGAGAAAGTTTAAGCATCATTCATTACTGTTTACTACAATTGATCTTAGTCATAACCATATAGTGCAGGGTTCTCTTTTCTTTCTATGCCTAATTGTTTCCTTTGTTTAAGGATGTCCACGAAATATGTGATTCCAGAGCCTTCATATTGATTCTAAGACTATTCATTTTCTAGTTTTTACCTTCTGATATTTGGTAAGTTTCGTCATTCTTTTTCAAATGGCATTTTACTAAAACTATGTATCACCTCAGCAACTTCCTAAGGCTGCCAAAAAAGACATTGAACTACACCCATAAAATTCAAAGGGCAGTAAATTGGTTGCCACCAATTATCACCCACAGGACTTGTTTCTCAACAGCTCTGTGTTAAACAATTACTATTTGTTGCTCTACTGTGATGTCTGAGTATTTCTGTTGCAAGTTATCAGTACGAGGCTGTGTATTATTGCAGTTGTTGATTTGGTTTGGTCTTTTCAATGCCCAGTATTAAAATTCATATCCAGATGAGAATGCATTACTAACATTTTATTAGTGGTTTTATTTGTGGACAGCTCAGGCTTCAAATCTTTATCAATTACATTTTCTGACCTTTCTTTTTCAGAAATGTAAATTATTTAGGGTCATTGAATCTTTCCTGCAAATTTCTAGTTTCCCAGTCTCTCCAGAATAATCTGAACTTCCAGCATAATTCCTTCTGAGATATTCATAAGGTCATGTTTATGCCTGTAATTCCAACACCTTCCACAATAGCTATTTGCATACAATCTTTTCAATTGACATTCATTCTTCTTCAAACTATTTGCCAGAGTCAGAAGCATTTTATTACATTGACATTTAGGAGCTGGTTCTAAAAAGCAAACTGGGAGTAACTCTCCAACTACTATTCGCATGGGGAGAAGGACATATGAAGGACATATTGCAGAAACCACAATTGAGCGTCATGGAGTCTGAAATCTTGGAAAGTGCAATTTAGGTCCTAGACAGCTACAACAATTTTATGGAGTTAGCTATGCTGTAACATATGCTGCAACATATGCTGCGGTGGTAAAGAAGAGTCTGTCAAGTCTGCTTACTGGACTATGACATTGTGGGGAATTCTGCTAAAAGAAAGAATGCTGTTAAAGAAGGTCTGCTCCATGATCATCCATATAGGGAATAGCTTGTGTGGTAGAATTTGTCTTTAAGGAAAGAGGAAAGAACACAGACCCCTGGAGACTCACCTTAATAATGTTGAGCAATTCATGTCGATCAATGCAGCCATTGCCATCTACATCATAGAGCTTGAAATACCACCGCAATTTCTGCTCCATCTTCCCACGGAGAACGAGGCTGAGGGCAGCCACATATTCCATGAAGTCAATATATCCATCCTGTGGGAAAACAAAAACCAAATTGTGACAGGAACAAACTGAGGGGTTACGGCTCTGGAGCTGGTTTACCTTATTGCTCTTTAGATTCACAGCTAAAAGGGAAAGAAAAACAAATGGCACAGAGACTTGGACTTAGGGAAAAGCTTTAGTACACGCCCCCCATCCCC